TCCTCATCCTGACAGAGTGACAGCTTCAAAATTGAGGAAGATGCAGCCATGGTCTATATTAGTCTCGGAATGTGCAGCCCAGAGGTCTGAGTTCTGCCTGGAGGCCTCACCACGCCTGAAGGACCGATCAGGCCTGACAGCACCCTGGCCATTATGGTGAGTAGGCCTCACAATGCCACTGTTCACTCCATAGGCCATGGTGACTCCTCAGAAGCACATTTCTCACTTCCCTCTGACTAAGGGAGGCAACTCAGAAAAGGGGCTGAGTGTTGAGACCTTCACTTCTGACCTACAGGTAGACCCTGGGGCCCAGAAAGATGGCAGGCCCCTTTTAGCTGCTGTGTCCCAGAAATGCCTGTGTGTCCTTATGCCTCAGCTCAGGTCTGAATCTTCAGAGAGCTCAGGGGAGGGGTGTGCATAAGGCTGTCACTTTGCTTCTGCAGAATCAGAAAGATGCAGCAGCCTTTAGGCTTCAAGGGAAGAGCCTCTTTTCCCAGCCTCTTTTCCCCTGCATCAGGCCTCTCCGCATCACTAGCCTGCCTAAAGTTTCTCACCTTCCTTTGGTGTATTTCTGTATTTCTGATATACCTGCAGTGCTCTCCTTTCCCAGCCTCATTTCCCCTGCATCAGGCCTCTCCGCATCACTAGCCTGCCTAAAGTTTCTCACCTTCCTTTGGTGTATTTCTGTATTTCTGATATACCTGCAGTGCTCTTTGCCATTCCATTGCCAGCTCCCTACGGCATGTGTATTCCAGCTGAGGTTTTCTCTGGGTATCCATCCTTAAAACCACTCATGATGGACGTGCAATAATGGAGCATATCTGGAAGTCAGTATTATTTAGTACAAGCCAGTTTCATGGAACCTTTAGTGCCAATTATGCTTAAAGTTATAGTTTTTAAAATAATTCCTACCTTTTTTTCTGACAGAATATGAGTTAGGACAATCCAAGGTAGCCCAGGGGACTGTACATCAGTCTCTGTCTCGGAGAGCACTGAAATCTTGGGGAGGGCACTGGGGCCGAGATGGGGCAGGTACCGCTTGAGAGAGTGGGGTCCACCTCGGGGAAGCATGCAGTTCTCTGAGTGCAGAGTGTGACTTTTTACACTTTGCTCTCCTGGGTCCAAAAAAGATTGGAGAGTGTGCACCCCCTCCTCTGATGCTTTCATTTCATTCATTCAGAAAGGAGACAGAGTGGCTTATTCAGTGACTCAGAGTCTGTCCTAATCCGATTCCAACTCTGGAATTTGGGGAAGGAGAAGACAGGGCCAAAGATGGAAATCCTAGAAAGAAATAAGAACAAACACAAGAAAACTCATGGATAAAGTGTCAGGACAGAGAAGGAGTGAGGACAAGCTTCCTAACAGACCCAGGCCCTGACTAAGTGTCCAGGCAGTTCCCATGTCTGGGTCTGTGAGAAGCTACAGCTCTTGCTGTCGAGGTCTGATGGACACTGCACTCAGTGCTGGGCAGTAGGTCATGTGAGGCATTTTGGACTCCTTTATTCAGGTCCATCTTCCTGACAGTCAGGAGAAGAGGGGGAGCTGGAAAGGTGGTGGCTGACTCTCCCAAGGCCACGAGGGCACCTGGTGTCAGACAGCCCAGGATGGTGTTGTCCATATTGCCCGAGGCCTTCATGAGAAGCATAAACCCAGGGCAGTAGCAGTGACAGGGGAGGGGATTCCTGAGGAGGGTCACTCCAGGTCACATCAGTCAAGCATGTGTCACTCCTGGGATCAGATTCAACATCGTGGGTTCTTCAGTTTGGGGCAAATGTCAGTATTTGATAAAAATTCTAGGTGGGAATGAGATAAGAGAGTTTCACTGTGAAAAAGCAAAATCCTTCAAGGTGAGGAAGCAAGAAACCCACTGTGGACTGGGAGCAGAGCCTGCCATTGGCCAGGTGGGAGACAGACCAGGAGAGGCTGCAGTCCTTGAACCCCCAGGTTAGGCAGCAGCTGGAGAGAGTTTTGGATGCCCTCATGTGAGTGATGACTCTGTCCTTGGGAATTCTCCACACATGCTGCCACCCACAATGCTTCCTGGGAATGCTCAGTTCATGCACTATCCTGCTCCATGGTGGCCTCTAATCCCAGGTTACCAGCCTTCCTCTACTTAGCCCACACTGAACTGCCCACATCTGCCCACAAAGCCCCTCCTGGCCCCAGGACATCCATTCCTAGAAAGCCTGTTTCACTCCTAAAAGCCTGTTTGCAGCACCATTCCTGACCTGGGAAGTGCTCTGCATGGCTGCCCCAACTCTGTGGAGCTGACCTTATTTCTAAGACAGGCCAGTGCCAGTGGGCCCTGGATCATTAGGCTTCAACAGCTGGGGCCCTAGTCTGCTATTTAGTCCACCTTGAGTCTGAGGATGAGGAAACACACCAAAAATTTCTTAGTGAGGTCACTGGATCAATTTTAGTTATGACAGAGGCCTCTGGATATGTGATGGTGAATGTGCCAGAGAGTAAAAATTAGAAGAAGGAACAAACCAGGGACTGTTACACTCATCAGATGAGAGAGCTGGAATGTGCTGAGCAGAAGAAAGACACCACCAACATGAAATATGGACAGACTCAAGAGGCATTAAATAGACTGGAGCGTCAGTGTATTAAACATGTCTGAATCTGGGAATGAGACCAGGAGACACGTTGAGGGTAAATTGAGGTTTGGGGAATTGACTGATACTAGCATCAGAGAACAAAATAGAAAACACAGGGAGTAATTCTGGTACGGAAAATTTTTAGTTCAACTTAGGACATGCTGAGATAAAACACATGGGATGAGGTTAGCAGGTGGTTGTGGTTGTTAAGGTGATGGTCTCTCATATGGTAGACCACGGTTCAAATCTTAAACTTTGTGTCTTGTTTTCACACTTTCCCTCTCTCTTTCAGTTTCTCTTGTCAAATTAAAATCATAATAATAAATAAATTATTCCTAAAATAAGGGCGTGGGAGGTATAAAGTGTTGAATAAACAGGTCATTTTGCTTATATGATTCTCAGAAAATAAAATCTGCTTTAAAAATTTCTATTTTGTATTCATACCCAATATGGCACTTGAGATAGCTTAGATGACCAGGTAGACTGCCACAGGGAAAAGGATAGACTTCTTTTACCAGACCTTGCTGACTGGCTGTGTCGTGACCCTCAGATCAACTTACATCACTCCCCGCAGAACCCTTGGGGACAGACTACCTTGGCAGGCAACATCCTCATGACTGGTGTTGTCCTCAGAACTTCTGTGATGAACCCAATGTTTTTCTCCACAGGAGATAAAGAACAATTATGAATATTGCCAAGGGAACAATATTCGTCCTTCTGCCTGGACTTGGCATGGTGGGGAACCTCTCTGTCTTTGTGAATTACATGTGGATTTGTTTCATGGATGCTGAGAAGAAACCTGTACACATTATTCTCATCCATTTGACTTTCACAAATATAATAATAATTTTAAACAAAGCGATGCCACCGATGATGGTAGCTTTTGGTGTGAAAAACTTCCTACATGACACGGGCTGTAAGATAGTAATTTTCCTGGGCAGGGTGGCTCGGGGCCTGTCCATGTGCACCTACAGCCTCCTCACAGTGGTCCAGGCCATCACCATCAGACCCAGGGCCTCAGCGTGCGGCTGGCACCAACCAAAGGCAGCTCGGCACATCCTTCCCTGTCTGCTCTTCTTCTGGGTGCTCAACTCTTTGATAAGCATGGACTTACTCCACGTCCTCACAAGCAGCAGCAGAAATGGATCACATGTGATTGAAAATCATTACTATTGCCATGTTCAGTCACAAAGCCAGGTAACACGATGGCTTACTCTCAGTGGCATGGTCCTTCATGATGCCCTTTTTCTGGGTCTCATGGGCATGTCCAGTGGCTACATGGTGTTCCTTCTCCACAAGCACCAGAAGTGCTCACTCTACCTGCAGAACACCAAGCGAGTCTCCACCACACCCCCTGAGATCAAAGCCGCTCACAGCGTTCTCTTTCTGATGCTTTGTTTTCTTTTCTTTTATTGGACAGATTCTATGATTACTTTATGTGTAGATTACTCCTTGAAGAATAATTTCATACTTTTAAATGCTCAATTAGGGAAAGATCTGCTATCACACTCTTCGGTGGTCATGGACTTTGTTTCCTCTGAGCAGCCTGAAAATTACGTCTTAAGATATTCCTGATTGGGCCAGGGCCCAAGAACCTTTTATAATCTGCTCTGCTTACTGATCTTCACTTAAGATTTTGACATGTTTAATGTCTTACTATCTACTTAGATTTTAAAACTATTAAGAAATCTTGTTTTTATTTTTAATCTAGCATCATTAGTTTTTTTTTTTAAAAAAACTACAGGTGGTATTTATCACAATAACTTACAGATACAAACTAATGATAAACTATAGTTTGATAGAAGATTATAAACATGTTGCACACCAGTCAGTTCCTTTTTTTAGACAACGTGCTCTTTTGATGACAGTTAAATGAACAGATACACACTATTGTGAACTATTTCAGGCAATAGAACAACTGGTTTTTATTTATTTTTCTCTTTTTTTTCTTTTTTATTATCATCATAATCTTCTTTATATTACATTGGATTACATATAACTTTACATTGTATTACATTGTTTTTTCAAAAGGGAATGCCATGCATGTCAGTCAGTACAGAGACATTAATCTCCCCACTTCAACATTCAATATCTTTTCTGTTTTCCCCAATCATTATTTTTATTATTCTAATTATTTTTATAAAACAGTCAATTGTTATTTCTCGTTTTGCTTGTAAAAATACTTTGCCCATCATGAAATACTTCTCAGACCAATCCAGTTGAGAATACTATACATGTCATCATCAACAGTTAATAACCCCTATCTGTTTCTCACTAACGTCCTGTCTCTCTATTGTTCACTTGCTATCTTTCTCTATCCTCTTCTCTTCACTTACCCCATTCCACACTGTCCTATTCTCATTAAGTACCTTCACTGTGTTTATGTCCTCCGAATTTTTGCTCTCTATTATAGAGTGCGGATAGTCGGTATATATTGAGTGGATACATACAATATCTTTCTTTCATAGCCTGGCTTACTTCACTCAGCAATAGATCCTCCATATCTGACCATTTTCTATCAAATTCCAGGGTCTTGTTATTTTTTATGGCTGAGTAGTATTCCATAGAGTATATATACCACACTTTTCCAATCCATTCATCAGTTTGTGGACATTTAGGTTGGTTCCATGTCTTGGCAATTGTGAATAATGCTGCAATAAACATGGATGTGCAAGCACTTTTCTGACTGAGCGTTCTCCTGTCTTTTGGGTAAATACCCAGAAGTGGGATTGCTGGATCAAATGGTAGTTCTATTTGTAGATCTTTGAGGAACCTCCATATTGTTCTCCACAGTGGTTGAACTAGTTTACATTCCCACCAACAGTGGAGGAGGGTTCCCTTTTCACCACATCCCCGCCAACACTTATCACTTTTTATATTCTTAATCTTTGCCATTCTGACAGGGGTTAGGTGGTATCTCATTGTGGTTTTTATCTGCATTTCCCTTATGATGAGGGATGTCGAGCATTTCCTCATATGCTTTTTGGCTGTTCGTATGTCTTCCTTAGAGAGACTTTTGTTCAGCTCACTTTCCCATCTTTTAATCGGGTTAATCATTTTTTTTCGCATAAGGCACTTGAGTTCCCTATGTATTCTCGTTATCAGTCCCTTGTCTGAGGCATATTTAACAAAAATATTTTCCCATTCTGAGGGTTGTCGGTTCACACTTGTTACTGTGTCCTTTGCTGTGCAGAAACTTCTTAGTCTAATATAGTCCCACTTGTCTATTTTAGGGATTATTGCCTGTGCTTTGGGAGTCTTATTTAAGAAGTCTTTGCCTACTCCAATGTCTCCCAGAGTTTCCACAGCATTTTCCACCAGTAGTTTGATTGTTTGAGGTCTTAGGTTCAGATCTTTGATCCATTTTGAGTTGACTGTTGTTAATGGTGAAAGATGGGGATTCAGTTTCATCTTTCTGCAGGTGGATACCCAGTTTTTCCAGCACCATTTACTAAAGAGGTTTTCCTTTTCACAATGGATCGACTGATATCTTTTGTCAAAGATCAGTGGGCTGTAAGCTTTGGGGGTTATTTCTTGGGTCTCTATTCTATTCCATTGGAATGACCTAATACTTCTGACATACTTCTTTTTTTTATAGTTTTTATTTTTTCTATAGGGCGTGTGTGCTTGCCAGATTGACAGAGAGAGACATAGAGACAGAAAGAGAGAAATCATCCTCCAGAGGGGATGGTCACGCCACAATCCCTTCTCCTCCATTCTCCTCTCGGGAACTTAAAACATGCCCGGCGTGAGTTTTAAGCCACCGGATCTGGGACGTGAACTGCAGTTGTCTATGTGGGAGTCGAGCGACATAGCCATTATGCTAACTGCTGGTTCCCTACTTCTCATATATTTCTTCATTTAAGAATTATATTAGGATAAAAAGGCATAGTGACAAATAAAATTAATATGGACTAACGCTCAAAGTTTTTAAAAATAATTAAGCAAAGAAACTCCTCACAATAAACTCTTTGGCCTGTGGTGGGGACCCGACTGCGGCTCTTGCCTAGTGAATGGGCAGCCCATGTCAGATGATATCTCCAGGATGCACTAGGAAATCAGCAATTATGCCATTTCAAAATCACAAGCAAGACTCAGAGTTTTGGCAAAAATGAAGACAGCCTGATGGGACGATGTACTCGGTCATCCTCACCCCGGCAATAGCCTGTCTGTTAGTGTCAGGAACAGGACGCTGCCACTGTTCATGACAGTTACAGAAAAGGCATCTTTCCCAGGCATCTCTGGGAGTGAGTCTTGCTTAGGGACCCTAAGGATGTCCTGGAGCAAATAGATGAACATTTCATTTATTGGATCTGATTCCCCCAAAAGGAATGTGAGCTGAGACTCATGATGATAGCCCAGGACCTGATTGAATGAGAAAAGTGACAGTAAAGCTACAGACACTCTCGCCTCTGAGCTAGAAGGTGGAGCATAGGGAGAAGAGGAAAGGGAGCAGGTTGACAACGCCATAGAGAAAGAGTCATGGGGAGGCTGAAAGAAGCTAGGGGGTGATGTTCACAAGCAAGCCCTGCCCTCCACGAGGCAACAACAGAAGGCAGAGCCCGACTCTCCAGATGCTGAGGGAAAAGAAAGAAGGGGATGAAGGTGTGGGAAAGACAATGGTGGGAGGTGAGGAGGTGATGGAGTGACTTCATGAGCTGAGGAGCTGGAGAAGCTGAATGCCAGCAGTGATGAAGATCAGGATGCACACCCTCCGGGGAAGAGGATGAAAAAAGCCCCTGATGGAAAATGTGAAGGCCAGGCACCCAGGGAAGACCTGAGTAGAGAGGGTAGGAGTCAGAGCCTCAGAGCATGTGGGCAGGAGGCAGAGCCCAGGCCATGATCAAAATCATAGGAAGTCCCCTCAAACATGCATGGATAGGACTGGAATGGGGAACCGGGGTACAATATCTGTGTTTTTACTGATTAGGCCTCGTCAGTGGGGTGAGAATCTGCAGTGAGGGAGGAGTTCGTAGCTTTGAACTGGGTGTCTTTACAACCTGTATTTGAAGTACCAACTTGAGGCCAAATGTTTGACAGATGTAGTGTTGAGGCTGAGATGAGATCAGAAATATTAAAATATCCCTAAATTTTAAACATTAAAAATAACCATAAAATATTACTATTCAAAAATGGGACATGACGTGATTTGATGGCTGTGTCACGAGTCTCTGCAAGAACACAGGAGACACCATGAGAGCTGGTACCTGCTCTGAGAGAAACTGGGTCACTGGAGGCAGAGTGAGGAGTATTTCACTTTCCACATTCTGATCTGGTAACCACGTGAATGCACTTTTTGTTCAACCCACACAGAGTTAGAGAGCAATTTCTACTTTCTCCCTAGACACCCTTTGAGGGCCCTGGTCCTCCCGCAGTGCTGCTGTCCAGGCTCTCTGTGGTCAGAGCTACCACATGATCTGCCTCTGTGTTAACTTGGATGAGGAAATACAATTTTCATTTTGTAAATTTTACCTAAAATAAGGACTAAAGCATAGTTCTGACACGATGGGATCTGCTAGCAGTTTATTGTACTTTACTTATTACACAAAATCTTAGAACTGATACACACAGGTGTCCTTTTCTATCATTTTCTTTCTTTCATTTTCATTTTCTTTTCTTTCTTTTTTTATTTTTATTTTTTGGCCTATATGGCATGAGGTCCCACTGGGTGACATGAAAGAGAGACAGACAGAGAGAAAGTGAGAAAGTACACCCCAGAAGTGATGGTCATACTGCAGCCCCTTCTCCTCCATTCTCCACTCAGGATTCTGGACACACACACACACACAGAATTTTTCTCAAGCTGCCAAGTGTCAAACTCAAACATTGCAGTCTGCCATGTGGGTTCCATCGCCATAACCACCTTGCCACATCCTAGACCCACACTCCATTCTTAAGAGTCTCTGTCCTGGCCATTGGGATGGCGTGGTGGCAAGGCAGTGATCTGTGATGCTCAGGACACATTGGGAGGACCATGTGCTCATCCCCATGTCTCCCTGTGCACACGAGCAGCGTGCTGGGATCCTGGCTGTATGGGCTGGTCATGGATCACATTGCAAGAACCTTCTTCAGGGTGCTTGTATCTCTCCCTCTCTCTCTTATGGGGAAAATAAACTCACTTTATGACATCTCTCTACCAAGTTCGTTCTTTTTCTTTTCAAGATTTTTTTCTTTTTCTTTTTTGCTATAGGTCGCATGCACTCACCAGAATGACAGAGAGAGACAAAGAGACAGAAAGTGAGAAAACACCCCCCCGGGGGTTGGCCACACCACAATCCCTTTTCCTCCATTCTCCTGCCGGGATCTTGGACAAGCACGCACACATGCCTGGCATGAGTTTAAGCCACCAGGTCTGGGACTCAAACCGTGGTTGACCACATGGCAGTCCAGAGACATAGCCATTATGCAACTGCTAGTCCTGTCTTTCAAGGTCTTTCATTCCCCTGCACACTTTTAGGCTCTCCCTCCTCCATGTAGCAATACTCGATGCCTACTTCTGTTTGTCTGGTTGGGCTATGTCCTCACAGATCTGAAATAACATTTCACGTCATATTGCCATCCTGGAATTCATTGGA